AGGAAAAAAAATTTTTTTTTTTAAATTTTTTAGTTTTTCCTTGACAACCCTATGGCCATCATTACATATCAAGTTCTCTATATTTTTCCTGTAATATTCGAGTAAAAATACACCAGCATGCAAAATTTCAGCTCTCCATGTCGAATAGTTTAGAAGTTAGGGGGGGGATGGTCACTTTTTATGCATTTTTGGCCAAAAATCTTGTTATTTCCTTGACAACGCTATGCCCAACACGTCCAATCACATTTGCCGGTAGGGAGGGGGGCACGATTTGGCTACGGACACAAGAGTCTCACCAATAGGGTTCCGCCGATACACCGTAGGTGTACGGAACCCTAAAAATGACGTAAATGTTTACAAATAAAAAAAGGAAGTTGATTATTGTTTATATAATTGTTAATATTAATGATAATTTTTAACTTTAAAATAATTTTTTACTAAATTAGACATAAATTTAAACTTGTCTGCAAAACAAACCAATTTTTCTTATGAAGAAGGTCCGAAGTAATCTATTTGTTAATTAACATTGTTTGCAACAATTTAAATAAATTGTATTATGCTTTATTAATTGTCCGGTGGTCATTCTAGACTAATTTAAATTGATTTCGATCATGTGCAACGGAAAAATAAAAAAATAAACATGATTTTTTCTAAAAATATTGTAATTTGTCAAATTTTTGAGTAACAAGAAAAAAATAAACAATTAAAAATTCAAAAATCGACTTTGATGGATCTCTTAGTAATTTTAAATCAAGAACATCAACAACCGATAAAATTTGTAGTTTCTAGACAATTTTCAATAGTAGGGTAATGTCACATTCAGTGGACCGCCACTTTGAGTGGACCACCTGAGTTTTTAAGTTATCTGACAGCGGAAACGTGATATAAATAAAACAAATAGCAGCACCGCACCTAGAAACAGTAAGAATTTATGTTCCGCGATAATCGTATACGTTATCGTTTGATGTAACGCATTTTTAAGAACACAAATAAAAAAAGAAGTCGCTCTTACAATGAGTAAAGTGATTCGAAAGTGTAAAAGTAGTGTAAAATTTAAGTTTTAAAAGGTAACTTATTTTTTTCCTACTACTTTGGATATTGAAATTGATTGTCTTAGTTTAATTAAATGATAATTTTGACTCAAAAAAATTTTGGTGTCTGCCATAAAAAGTTGCATGTCACCATGAGTGGACCACTTTTTATAACCACACGGAAAAAATAAATTCTGTATAAGAATTCCTGAATTTGTTCCATAATTGAGGATTTGTGCAAAGTTCCAGAAATTTTTAGAAATTCAATGTAAGTATATCTGAATCGTTCCGAACTAATTACGAAACGGTTTTTGTGAGACTTTCAAAATAAGCATTGTAAATAAATTCCTGGAGAAATACAGGACTGGTCTATAATATTATCGAAATTTTGTAGTAGAAATTATATTTCTTCTAAAATAGTATTTACAAGCGTCTAAACAAGGAGAACTCCAGTTTAAATTTCATAATAATTCCCGAACTTCATCGAAAGAATAGATGTGCCGACCCCGTTTCTCACAAGCGCTGAATAAAAGTAAAGTCTGGTATATAAGAGACTTCACAGGTCCCTACAACCAGCGTGCGATTCAATGCGTCGTGTATTTGCGTTTATTTGTGTATAAACTATATGTGTTCGCGTTGCTTGACGAATGTCGATCAAGTATATACGCGTATACACAACTTCTTTTTTTTATTTTCTTTGCTACGGAATTGTTCCGGAACTATTCTGTAGCCCTTATAAGAGCTTCTTCATATATGAAGCAACCCTCTGAATTTTTCCCGAACTCATAGGAAGTTCTACCGTCCAGACACATGGTCTGAAGGTGCATAAGCATAAATTTTGTTTTAATATATCAGAAATATTAAATACATTAAAGAATTTAGAATAACTTTTACAATTTTTTAAGAGTGGTTCACTAAAGGTTACACTTTTTTCATTCCTTAAAAATGAGCTATTTTTTTAAAGTCAATTGTTTTTCCCAAATAAAAAAAAATCAAAGCTATTATGGTATAAACACTTATCTAGGGATCTAAACTAAAGCTTGGAATAGAAACCTTCGATTAATTTGCTGTCATAAAGAATTTTTTAGAAAAAAAGCTTAGGCGGTCCACTCAAGGTGACATTACCCTAAGTTGAAAAAAATACCACTGTTCATCGCGCTAAAGTGCGCGAGCGGACGGACAAATTTTACTTATTACACTATCTTTGGCAAATTTTTTCGGCCCATTTTCAGACTTATATCTTCTTTTAAGGGAAATCCCAAGCTTTCATTTGAGATTATTAAAAAGAAAATAAAAACTGTCGAACTTGCACAAAATTGCAAAAAACTATTTATTTTTAAAAATTTTGTCAAAAAAATTTTTTTTGTAATTAAATAAATAAAATATTTTAAAAGTACACAAAAAAACCTTTCTAAAACACTACTTACTTTTTTTAATCGAATAATTTAAGTAGAAACTACAAATGTTTAAAAAACGCATGTTCGAGTTTAAGCTGAAATTTCAACCCCCCACCCTTTTGATAGGGGTGGGGGGTTGGACCTGTAAATTGGTGTAGTAACTTGTACCTACTAGGGTAACATATTTCCAAAGTATAAAGGAAATCCAAGAACTTTTTTTTATTTTTGGGGCAGTTCAGGAATAATGCCTCATATCTCTGTTACACATTAATTTGTATTTTTAAACATCCAATTTTTTAACGAAATACACTACCGTCGGGAATTATCGGTACGGCTGCACGCGCACGGCCCAAAAACATACCAATCTTTAAATCACGATTTTTTTGTAACTACAAATGTCAGAAAATTAACAAATGTACCATTCGAAAGATTATTAAATTCTACGATTAATAATACATGACTGAAAATTTTAATCTATCTATCTATATATATATAAAATAAGACTTTTGTCTGTACATTGCTCAGAACTTTAAATTTCGCACATAATTATTCGTTCTAGGCATCAAGGATTCCAAATATACCAATAAAAAATTTCGTGTATGTATGTGTGTCGGTATGTCACAGAATCTTTGTTCGCGCATCACTTAAAAACGGCTGAACTATTTGAAACCAAATTTAGCAGAATGTTAGACCTTGGGCCAAGGAAGGTTTATAAATTTACAGATTTGAAAAATATTAATTAGAACGGGAGATATTCAATTTTTTCGAAAAATTCAAAAACCAAACATTTTCAATTTTTACATTTTTTTAAAAAATGCTTTCAAATTTCCTATAATTGAGTATAACATGTTATTTAGTCACATTTTAGAATAGTTTTGCCAAAAATAATTTCTTATAGCTAAGATGTAAGTATAAAAATGATTTCGAAAAATTCAAAAAATCGCAAATTTCCAAATTTTATATTTTTTAATGGACTGCTTTTAAACTATCTATAATTAATCATTACATGTTATTTAGTCACATTTTAGCATAATTTTTCAAAAAATAATATCTTATAACTAAGATTAAAGTATAATAAAATGTTTTCAAAAAATTTTAAAAATCACAAATTTTACATGTTTTGATGATTTGCTTTTAAACTCTGTATAATTGAGTGTTACATGTAATTTAGTCATATTTTAGCATAATTTTGCACAAAAAATGATATCACTAAGATGTAAGTATAAAAATATTTTCCATATCAAAAAATCGAAAAAATTATAATTGTTATTAATTACTATCAAGTTTAATTCAGTAGTATTTTTGGGGTTATTTTTATTTTATGAAAATACTCTTTTTTAAGAAAATATGTTATATACCAGTACCAGTCTTTGACGGGATTTAGTTTACCATAATAGAATTGACAGAGTGTCTACCAATTGCGCTGGGAAACCGATAAATAGCCGGGAGTTTAATTTGACCAGGAAAAACCGGGAATTTTCTTATCAAATTAAAAAAGTTTTATTATATTAATTTGATTTTAAAAACTGCTTTTTACTTTAATTTTTATTGTCTAATTGTCTAATTGTGACACAATTATTTATAATTAGACTTTTCTTTGACTCCAAAAGCTGGTGTAAATTTAGGATTAATTTTTAATACATTAATTGCAGTACTACAAACGCACAAAGTACTACAAGTTGCCAAATACTGTTCCTGAATATCAAATTTGATAGAAAAAAATCTGTCACTGATTGAAATAGTAATATTTTCCTCACGAAATAGTTAATGGTAACTAATTATTAGTTTTTCCCAGTAAAATTTAATTCCTGGCTATTTCCCGGTTGGTAGAAACCCTATCAAATGTATTAGCCGAAACTAAAACCCGTCGAAGACGGGTTCGACAGCTAGTACTTTATACAAAGATTGCAGCAATCGACAAATTTGACAAAAAAATTTTAAAAATAAAATTTATTTCGAAATTTTTTCAACCCCTGCATATTTTTTAATAATTGTAGAAAAAATTTGAAACTTGCATAGGTGTGATCATTCAAGTCTCATCTTTAATTTAAGACTAAAAGATTTTAAAAATCATATTCGGTTCATGAGGTATCATTATAAACGTCCGAGCATGTTTTTTGACAAATGCATTGAATTAGTCGATTTTGAACGGTTTTTGGCTGAAAATGCTCGGCCGTTTATAATGATATCTCGCTAACCGATTAAGATTTTTGAACTATTTTGGTCTTAAATTAAAAATGAGATTTAAATGATCACACCTATGTAAGTTTTAAATTTTTTCTACAATTATTAAAAAATATGCAGGGGTTGTAAAAATTTCGAAAAAAAATTTATTTTTAAAATTTTTTTGTCAAATTTGTCGATTGCTGCAATCTTTGTATAAAGTATTAAAATTTTTAGTTATGAATCATTAATCGTAGAATTTAATAATCTTTCGAATGGTATATTTGTTAATTTTCTAACATTTGTATTTACAAAAAAATCGTGATTTAAATATTGGTATGTTTTTGGGCCGTGCAGGTGCAGCTGTACCGATATTCCCGACGGTAGTGTATATAAAATAATTTTACAGAGACTGTTCTCCTGGTCCAACGTTTAGTGCAGTTGTACAAGAGTTATTGAAATTATCCCAGGATGCTGTATCAAATCCAGAAGATTTATTGCCGTATACAGAAATGATAATAAATAAGATAGACTTAAAACCAGAAGAAAAGAAGTTAAAAAAGTTAAAACATATTCTTAACTGTAGTTCCATTATTCAAGTTAACAATTTGGAAGAGCAATTTGGAGAAGCTTTTTATAGAAAAGAACTTGAGGAGAAGAAAAAGGAATTATTGATTAAATTAAGTGACGAGCAATTAAGAGATTATCCAGATTATATAAATCGAGTTAATATTTTAAAGGATCTTGGCTATATTGATCAAAACGAAAGAGGTTTGTATTAATTTTATGTATTTAAACTAGACAATACACATTGTTGGGTAGAGTGTGGTAAAAAAGGCACGTTTTTACTTTTTACACTGTAAAATCGAAATTTAAATTTCTTTTAATTACGAAGAAATATTTCGACTTGATCAGCAAATAGTGACATCTATTAAATGTCAATTAAACTCATCTTTGGTTTAGAGTTAGGTGTTTCATACGATTATTGGTACGATATGTATTATATTAGTAGTGGATCGGACGTTAAATACGGTTGTTTACGGAAATTTCTGCCTGGGATGTAATCATGCCTGTCGAGGTTCGTATACACATCCACAGAGAGATATCTCTTGTCTCATTTTTTTCTTAAACTCATGTCGTCCCTCTCAAATAATGACGGGATAAGCGGATTTATTTGATTTTTATTAGCTTTTTCGATATGATTTCTTATCAAGTCCAATATAAAGATATCGATTGTCGGTATACCCGCCGCGTTATATATTTTTTGATTTGAGACGTACGTCTCAATATTAGTTTCGGGGTCTCTGTGGATGCGCAAACATATCCTCAAGCAAAACCTCTCAAACAATCTTAATTTCTCCATTTCTGATGGCGAAATACCATACCAAATATGGGACCCGTAAGTGAGAATCGGCCTTATCAAGAGTACATAACATATTATTTTGACTTTAGAATCTAATCTCGACGAAAAAACCAGTCTTTTATTCGCAAAAAATGCCTTTCTGGTCTTTTCCAGAACTGCATTTATATACAAAACGAATTTTAATCTATCATCTATATCGATGCCTAGATATCTGACTAGCCTTTTATGATTTAATTTACCATTTTCATCCTCACCAATTTGAATTACAAAATTTCTCCACTTCACCCCGTATTTCTTCTTCACACAGTCGACCAGCGACTCTTTTTGTTAAAGAGTTTTAGAAGAGTACCAACTGTGAAAAAAGTATTAATGTAATTATTTTAAGTTGTAAAATTAACTAAAGTTATCAGTTGAACTGTGGCAGGAATGTCCTCAAGTATTAAGCAAGTCATCGTAGCGGGCGAGCGTGGTTAGGTGGTTAGGTTATCGGTTTACGAATGTTAGGGTCGAGCATTCAATTCCCGGCGTTTAGAGATTTTTCTCTGTTAGGTATATAGAAATTAAATATGTAAGGTATATATAAACAAAAGTAAACAGGGGAAAATATAAAAAAATGGAACTCAATTATATTTATAATAAATAATTTTATTTTACTATTTTAAGTAGTTGTCTTTACTACTGAGTTATCTTAGTAACTTTTAAAAGACCATGGGTATAAGTACCCTTGGTTCGCGCCCATTTGGCTTAATATTTTTCCGGCACGTGAGACAATCTGAGCGGGAGGATTGACGTCGAGGTATAATGATGTGCACCATCGATTATTGTCCGGTACACACCATTAGAACTCGACTGTCGATAAACCGGTTGTACTCAGGAGAGGTTTTCTACAGTTTCCCTCTCTACTGGCGAGATAACCCATTTAGACGGGTTGTCCAGGCAAATGCGAGTACTCCTAATTTTCAAGTCGCTCTGTAGGCGGTAAAACTTAGTATTAAGTGTAATATATAAGAAACGATTGTAAGAGAGAAAATTTTGTAAAGAGACACTTGTATAGTCAAATTATGTAGGCTGAAGGCAGGTGTATCAACAAATAAATAAAAAATCTTAGTAACGTTAACTATAGATAAGCAGTTAATTTTACTGCAAAACTTTCATTGGTTCTTATTTAACTAAGAAAAGTAGTTAAAAAGTAGTCAAATTTACTAAGAATTTTTTTCAGTGTATGGGCATATCTCTAGAACCTTTAACTTGTATGTCCCTCGCATATATTTCGATAATTTCAATAACTGTTTACTTTATTTTTGTTGGAAATATTAAAGCTTGATAAGATGAATCAGTTCCAAAAGGTTTTACATTAATATATTAAATAGATCAATAATTATTCTAATTTGAGTGTCCGATTTTTTACAAAATCTGCTTGTCCCTAACCACACTTTCGGATAGGTTAAACCTGACAAATAATAATGCATAATACAGTTTATTTAAATTGTTAAAAAAAAACAATTTAAATTAACAAATAGATAACTTTTGTCTTTTTTTAAATTGTTTTTTTTAGACAAATTTATGTTTATTTTAGTAATGTATGTCTATTTTGTAAAAAAATGATTTTAAAGTTAACAATTATCATTGTTATTAATAATTATATAACCAATAATCTATTTTTTTGCATTTATAAACATTTCCAGCAGTTTTTTACACTTAAAATGTTTACATATTATGTACATTCTTTCAAAAACTTTAAAAATTTACAAATTGGTTTTAAAACAATTTTAATTAACAAATAGAAAACATTGGTCTTTTTTTAAAAAAAACTATTTTTTTTAGACAAATTTATTTTATTTAAGTAATTCATGTCTACGTTGTAAAAAATTATTTTAAAGTTAATAATTATCATTGATATTAACAATACTCAAGTTATCGATATTTAAGTAGAGCTTTAAAATGTTAAACTCGTTTAAAAAGGTTATATTTTTTTGCAAAAATAAGCCATTTATTTGTTTATAAAGTTAATAATTTCTTTATAACAAATGTAATTGTTTAAGCTAATACATTTTTTAAGTTTTTGAAAGAATGTACATATGATATAAATATTTAAAGTTTAAAAAATTACGAAAATGTTTATAAATGAAAAAGAAAATAGATTATTGGTTATATAATTATTAATAACAATGATAATTGTTAACTTTAAAATCATTTTTTTACAAAATAGACATAAATTACTTAAATAAACATAAATTTGTCTAAAAAAAACAATTTTTTTAAAAAAGAAGACCAAAGTTTGTTTGTTAATTTAAATTGTTTTTTTAACAATTTAAATAAACTGTATTATGCATTATTATTTGTCAGGTGGTCACTAATTTAAATTGATTTCGATCTTGTGCAATGGGAAAATAAAAAATAAAATAAACAGTAGGTATTTTTTACAAAAATATTGTAAATTGCTAACTTTGAGTAACAAAAAAATAAATAAACAATTAGAAATTTAAAAATCGGTTTAAACGGATCTCTTAGAAATTTTATCCCCTTTCATTTAAGACCAAGAACATCAAAATCCAATAAAATTTGTAGGCTATAGACAATTTTGAAGAGTAAAGTGTAAAAAATCATACTGTGAGGCGTCCCGGGTAAAAGATACTGCGCTGGCACTGAAACGTGGTCGCGCTTCCACAAAAATTGCAATATCTCGAAAACTATTAAAGTCACCATCGTTTTCTTTTTAAATTGTTTCAGAAATATTCACATTTAAAAAAAATCTTATAAAAAATTCAAAATGGCGTAACTTTTACAATTTTGAAAATTTTTAAAAATGCTTTGGTACACTTATTTTTGTTATCAAATATAACAACTTCACCAAATTACAGAATAATCCGAAGACCCCATGCAAATTGCAATTTTTCTGACATATTTATCCATATTTATACATATTTACCCACATATTTATCATTTTTCATTAATAAGACAATAGACAAATGGCACATCAAAATGACTTACGGGAAATAAAAGTTCAAATTATGAAAATTATTTTGAGACATAGTAAATTGATGTGCCTCGTATCTTCAAAAAGCTGTTGTAATTTAAAAAACAGAAAACACGTGCGTACAAAATTTGAAAACGACCGTAATTCTGAAAAAGTAAGATATAAAAAAAGAAAAATAGAAAAAAATAAATAGAAACTGGAAAGTTTATAAGTGTTAAATTTAAATAAAATGTAGGGGAGTGTTGTTAGAGTTGGGCATAGTTTTGACTTTTCTTAATAACTTCCCCTGTAGAACGAATTTCGCGATTTCGCGCATATTGTTGGAAAGATCAACTCAAATGCAATGTTTTTGCTGAACATTGTAAAAAAATTTGGTGCCAGAGTTGGGCCACTGTAGAAAATCAATGAAATATTCAGGTAAATGATTAAAAATGACCTTCAAATGATAGAATGACACTTGGGAATGAGGAAAGGAACCATGAAATTAAAATAAAATCCCATATTATGCATTTTCATATAACTTTAGATAATTTATTCCTCATGAACAAAATCCAAAATTGAAAAAATGAAAAAGGTTATCAACAATTTCTTTTTCTCTTTCCAATAGATATGAAGTTTTTAACACCTCTTTAAGTGAAAAAATTAATTTCTGTTGCAAGAACGCTTTGTAATTGCAAAATTTCCCTCATGGCTCAACTCTGACTCACGCGTCATATCGCACAGAACACAAACGCGTGACACAAACACCAAAATACTTTACACATTTTCACATATCGTCTTAATGAACAATTTCTGTAAATTTATTTTGTCTTTGGCATATTTCTTCTACATTTAGTTCTCTTCTTTTGACACCACAAAAAAGTTTTTACTGAGCCTATATGACAAAATGGTACAATACTCAACCCTAAACCCTGCCCAACTCTGACAACTCTCCCCTATCTGGAAATTGCAAGGTAAACTTTATACATTATAATTCCATACTTTTACAATTCAGTTTAATTAAAATCTAATTGTAAAATAAAAATCATTTAAATTTTTTAGTAATTCAAACAAAAAATAAAAGAAAAGTAATGTTAATGAGTAGTAATAATATAATAAATATAAAAGTAATATATTATATAATAATATAATTATTATTATAAATTATAACCCCTTAGTTAATTATACTTTCAACTGTTTTCGATTCTAAAAAACACACACCTGTTAAATATTTTTTTGTTGCACGTTAAAAATAATTCGCAATTTTAAATAGTTTATAACTTTTTGATGACGAATCATTTTATCTGTCCACTTGCATATTTTAAAAGCTTATTTCTTAAAGTTTATGTAGACAGAGTTTCAATACTGTGCTAAAAAGAAATTAACAAATTTTTTCTCATTGAAAAGTTAAAGGTTCTGGAGATCTACTAACGCTTTACAGGAGACAAAAATATGATACTCATCGAAAATTGACTTTTGCTCTATACATTTACAATTTATTTCTTTAGTCAACTTGAAACAGTTATTTTTAATTATTATTCTAGTTTGATACGAGTTTATTTTCTATTTTCGGTCGACGTATTCTGCTGTAATGGGATCGCACCGTCACAGAAAATTTTTAAAAATTTATTTCCGGCCTTTTTTCCGAACAAATTATGTACAAAATTCGGGCGAATTGCTAACGAATTTTTAATAAATTTTTTGTAAAAATTCCGCTCGAAATCCAGTGAAATAATTGTAGAAATTTTTTTTAAATAATATTCGATCACTACCCAATGGGAAGTAAACGATTTGTTCAATAATGGGTTATGCTTGGCGAACACCGTGCCATTATTGGAACAATGATTATGGCAATCTACAATGAACCACAATTGGTTTTAGCTTGGAATGATCACGCTACTGCTAATGATCGGTATCCATAAGCATCGGGCCAATATTAGTTGCCAAGGAAACAAAATAGATTTTAAAAAGCTTGATTTCTTATTGGCATCCAATAAAAAACCAAGGTTTTCTGAGAATAATTGTTTTAAGGGGTTACGCCACCCTGAAATTTTTCAAAAAAATTTATTTTTTTTTTTTTTTGCTTAATTTCAAAGTTTATATTCTAACGAATATTTTGAGATGTCGCCGAAGACAATGTCTCACTAATTACAAAAGTTATGGTCATTAGAAGTCAGCGCGGTGGGGACGCGCCGAGAGCTGCTGGAAGCAGCGACTTTCTATTTTCGAATGGTCTAGGGGGCCCTTTCATGATTTAGGAAGTGTCCTTTTCATTGTATCCCTTCCATTCTTAAATAAAAAAAATTATGGCCCAGGAATTGCTGATTAAATAGTAAATTGAAAAATTTTCAAGTTATAATACACTAAAGTTCATTTTTTTCTTCTTTTGCGTTTTTCTCGAAACCACAATTTTCGAGACGGTGTACACGATAACTCCAAAACTATTCAATCGATTGACTTGAAAATTAATATACATCTTCCTAAATAGATTTTCCACAGAGTGACGTGGGATTTTTTTGATTGAATAATTTGAAAATTTTTTATCCAATTTTTTATACGGTAATTTTAGCCAAAAAAAATGTCAATTTTTGAAGTGCTTCCATTTGCGTAAAAAATTTTTTTTTTTTAAATGGCTTCGTCACTTTGTTCAAAATTTATCACTTTTTAAGAAAAATATTGTTTTACTTGTTTCTGACAAAAATTGAACTGCCAATCATGTACACCATCAAGGAGTGCTCCGGAAAAATTGATCCACGCCAATAGTTATATCTCCGCCATTTTTAATTAAAAACAATTTTTTTTAAATATTTATAAAGCTCAATATATGTACTAAAGCATCAATAAATGTAAAGAAGTCCTACCTGAAACAGTTTTATCAAAAAAATTCCTAAAAAACCATCCGATTTTCATGCGTTCAGGGTGGCGTAACCCCTTAATTATTATTAATTAATTTTTATTTTTAAAAAATACCGATAGTTTTTTTGACAGCGTTCACTCTGGCGGCACTTGTCGGAACTTTTTTTTTGCGCGCATGCATATCCTAACATTATTGGAACAACGATTGGTAACCAACGTTGCACCACTTCCGACAAGCGCCGCCAGAGTGCATGCTAGTGATTTTTTCTCGCATGTGAGCTGTTTCACTGACTCTAAGTACCTGCTCCTCTCCCGCAAAGAATCCGGTATTTGAATTTTTGAAAACATCAGCGACCCCAGTAACCATTTTCAAGCGAATCCAAGCAATTGCAAGAAGTCTATTAAAGCAATTCAAAAACACATATTTTTGGTGTCTTCAACCCCATTTTTTTGTTATTTTATGGATATAGGTCTTGTTGTGCACATTACAAGCTTTAATTTAAGACCTTATGAAAGTCTTTAACACGTCAGGTTAAATAGAAAAAAATGTTGAAAATCCTCAAAATCGCGTTTTCTGCAATTATTACGTGCGGAATTACCACCGGATTCCTTGCGGAATTTTTACCAAAAATTATAGAAAAATTCGTTTGGAATTCAAACGAATTTTGTACAGAATTCGTTCGGAAATTATTTTTAAAAAATTTTCAGGAATTATTTCATGTTGAATTACCACCGTATTCTTAGCGGAATTTAAAAAAAAATCACCATTAATTTTGAATAATTAATTCTACAATAAAAAATGAAAGAATTAGCATACATAAAGTTTGAATTTCACCAAAGATACGTAAAACAATTTGAAAATTATATTCCATAAGCAAAACAATAATATACGGGTCAATCTCTAGAAATGAACAAATTCAGAATTGAAATTTCATTTTAAAAAAAGTTGAAAATTCACTTTTATTATTAGTCCTTTGGCAAAAGGGGGATCCTAATAAGCCTATAAAATACGTGGTTACAATCTTTATCAACATTATTATTAAAAATTAATGTTTTTTAATCAGAATTTTTGTTGAAAATTTCTCGCAGCTAAATGGGTTTCAAAATTGATGAAAATTAATTAAAACTCGTTACTCAGGGGTTTTAGGGGTCGCCGATTACGAATCCGATGTCAGTTTCTCAAAATCCAAAATGCTGGATCCAATATGGCAGACACTTTCTTCAAAAATTTAACGGATTTGCTTGAAACTCGTTACTCGGGGGTTTTCGGGGTCGCTGATTATGAATTTCAAGATAGTTTTTGAAAATTGAAAATGGCGGATCCAATATGGTGGACACTTTTTTCAAAAATTCATCGGGTATGCTTGAAACTCGTTATTCGGGAGTTTTCGGGGTTGCTGATTACGAATCCGATGTCAGTTTTTGAAAATTCAAAATCCCGAAATCCCCAGAGCGACAAGTTTTAAGCCAATCTAATTAATTATTCATACTAGATCAGCCATTTGCAATTTTCAAAAACAAACATCAAATTCGAATTCAGCGACCCCAAAAACCCCTGAGGAACGAATTTCTATCGAATAGCATCAATCTTCAAATTATCCGCCATATTGGATCCGCCATTTAAAATTTTTTAAAACTGACCCAAAATTCGTAATCAGCGACCCCGAAAACCCCCTAATAACAAGTTTCAAGCAAATCCGATGAATTTTTCAAAAAGTGTCCGCCATGTTGGATCCGCCATTTTGAATTTTTAAAAACTAATAACAGATTCGTAATCAGCGACCCCGAAAACCACCAAGTAACAAATTTTATGCAAATCTGAGCAGTTTTGAAAAAAAATGTCGGCCATATTGGATCCGCCATTTTGAATTTTCAAAAACTGACATGAGATTCGTAATCAGCAACCCCGAAAACCCCCGAGTAACGAGTTTCAAGCAAATCCGATAAATGTTTTAAAAAATTGTCCGCCATGTTGGATCCGCCATTTTGAATTTTCAAAAATTATTATCATATTCGTAATCAGCAACTCTAAAAACCCCCGAGTAACGATTTTCAGGCGAATCCGATGATTAATAAAGTCTGTAATTTACGTGCTGTGTAATGGAAATATACCATGGGTAACGGAGGGGAGTTTTCTTCCATTATACAGCTTCAAAATGTTATGATTCTAATATAAAAAAAATAAATATTATAAATAAATTAATGACAGCATTTGTTTTCTTTGTTTTTAAATAAAACAATGTTTTAAAGATTATTAAAAATTATTATTATTTACATCCTAAAAACTAAATTTACTGCGGTAACGGAGGGGAGTTTTTATTGTGTCGATGAACACTGACAAACTAAAGATTCTTTTAAAACTAATTGTTTTCATTTTGTTTCATCATTTTATGCAATAACCATAACTATACTGACACTACAAAGAGTTTTGATGTATTTATTTCTATTTTATCGTTTTTGTTTATATTTTATAATTATATTTGTGAGCGGTAACGGAGGGGAGTTTTATTTCTGCACAAAACTAATTTAATTCTAGGTAAAAATAACTAACAAATATTTTACTTTATTTTTCATGATTGAATTAGAAATAAAATAATAAGTAGATATTACCAGGCAAAAGATTTTTTTGTATTACAGAATTAATATAATACCTTTTCTATAAATGAAACTTACTTCATGAACGGTAACGGAGGGGAGTTTTTATGCTATATAAACACGTGTATCTTTAAATATTTCAAATTTTCGATTTATTTTTCATAGGATCCGATTAAATCATGATGAATGCTATTATTAGGACGTAAAGATTTTGAAAAATTATTATTATTTATTTTTAAAAATCTAATGTACGTGTCATGTGTCTCGATTGTGAGAATGACCCATATACACATATTTTTCAGTCACATTAAAAGGAAGAGTTGCGCTTGAAATGGGAATATGTGAATTATTTTTAACCGAACTGGTGTTTAAAAATATCCTTACTGATTGGAGTCCAGCTGAAATAGCAGCTTTACTTTCAGCTTTAGTTTTCCAACAACGAACAGAAGAACCTAACATGAGCCTCAACAAGAGGCTAAAAGACGTAAGACTACCTCTATTACTTAATTCATACTTATTGTCCATTATAATTTTATTTTTATTCCTACAGTTGCAAAAAATAGTGTCAGACGAATATGAAATCTTAAAAACAAAGGAAATGAAGTATAACTTAACACCGGCTCCACCTTTAAATTTCGGTCTTGTAAAAGTTGTATACCAATGGGCTAGAGCAGAGTCATTTGCTAATATTATGAATTTAACTGATGTTCAAGAGGGTATTATCGTCAGATGTATTCAACAATTAAATGAGACTCTTCGCGACGTAAAGAATGCTGCTATCATTATAGGAAATCCGATTTTGAAAGAAAAAATGGACGAAGCATCAAGTGCTATCAAACGAGATATTGTTTTCACAGCTTCACTCTATACCCAAGATTGATAAGTTACAACAGAAATCATTTTTTCATAGTTATGGCTTTAATTCCATTATAAATTAAAACTTTTTTCTTTGATTTATAAAACAAACTTTATTGTAATTTTTCAAATAAATTTGTATTAATAAGATAATTGTTACAATTTTTTTACACATAAACTTGGCTTACATTCAAAAACATTTTTCTAATAATTTATCGCCATTTTTATTACCCCTTCTAATTTGCTTTCAGAAAAACTGTAATTAAAAAAAAGTCATGATATAGTTAACTGTAAACTTTTTCAAAAAATGCAAAATTAGTATACAATATTCTTAGAATTCTTGGTTGTTTATCCAATTTTACAGAATAAACTTAATTGTCTAATTGTTTAAAGAACGCGCTGATCTGAATTATTTAAAATGCCTTGGCCTTTATTTAATTCAGAAATACAAGCCCATTGTCCTTCGGAGTTTTCCCTCCATAGTGAAACTTTGTTATCTCCCCCACTGATTGCCAAAATTCCTCCAGTTAGAGACCAGCTGACATTCCAAATAACGTCATCGAACACATTAAGCACATTAGGTGTCCAACTAATATAGTCAGTTGAAGTCCAAACGACAACGCGACGATCTTGTGAACAAGAAGCAAGGGCAGCTCTTGATGGCCCCACTGCTGGTGCCCAAGCGACGTCTCTCACCTTTTAACAGAAAATTTTTTAACTTTTCAATCTTAAAAAGAAAAAATTATCAATTTAGATGTCTGAGTTAACACTTGGCCAAATAATTAAAAGGTAGATAAGTAAATATCAATCAATTGGAATCATGTCAAATCAAATAATAAAAACAAATATTATACTTTTAAAGTTTAGACAGCGCACAGCAGTCCTCTTAAAAAACTAAAATTTACTAACATATGCTAATATAATTACAGAAATTCGAAAGGTGTATAAATTTTTTCAAAAATTCAAAATTTAACCCTTTTTTGAAAATAAAAAATATATTTGACTTTTTTTAAAGAAAGAACCCCTTTTATTTATCTAGTCTTAAAATAAAGCTTTAGATGTATACTTTCAACAAGCAAAATAAAGAAAATGACGTTTTTTCTGTATCTGAGATATTTACAATTAAATGACTAAAAATTATTTAAACAAATTAGTAAAAGTTATTCATAAATACTTTATATGGGGCTCATTGGATGCGGAATTTAGTATAAAATTTAAGGGGTCTACCCACTTTAGACGCGCTAAGAAAAGGCTATTTGTGTAAATTTTTTTCAGGTTTAAATTATAAATATTGACATAAATAAATACATTCTCGAAGTACAAGAAAAAACTGTTTCAACTTTTTTTAATATATTTTTTTTATTTAAAAATAATTAATGAAAAATATTAATAAAAAGAAAGTGGGTGTGTGCTCACGGTGGTCTTCAAGCACTTTTAGGTTTACCTAAAATGAGTCAAAATTGTGCTAACGCAGTTTTATCTGTAATCGTCCCAAGATTCCAAATTTTCATTTCCGAAAATCGTAGCTGATTCTTTTTTCGAAAAAAAACATATATATGGGAAATTCCACGTGATATTTAAGTCCACATCTTAAAATCGGCCAAAAAATATTTTTTTTCTATTCTGTATCGAAAAAAACAGATACGTATTTTTTTATTTTTGTTTAATTGTACAAATTTTCGAGTTATGAATTTTCGAAATTTTTGACTTGTAATTGTAGACCTATATTCAGTAGCTTATAATTCCGAAAATATTGAGTTTAGGAAAAAGTTGTCAAAGAATGAAAGTTTTAGTTTTCTTTCGAGTTTTAAGAAATGTAAACAAAAATTTTTTTATAAACAAATTAATTGTTTTTAACTTTGGACCGGATTTAAAAAATTTTTTTAAAATTTATTTATACCTTATAATATAGAGGAGAGTTTGCAAAAGTCCTGAAATGGGCCTGATGTGTTAAATGAGTTTTAAAACATTTTCAAAAATCACTTGCAAGCATCACATGGGATATTTTTACAATTAACTTTTTAGAACTGTCTGCAGCGTATAAATTTTAATCTATTTGTGTTCTTTGTTTTAAATTAAAGGGTCTACGCTGTAGACAGTTTTAAAAAGTTAATTGTAAAAAAATCCCACTGTCGACTAAAATCTCACGTGGAATTTCCCATAGGGATAATGTCACCTTGAGTGGACCGCCTGAGCTTTTAAGTTATCTGACAGCGGAAACGTGAAATAAATAGTGCGAATAGCAGCACCGCACCTAGAAACCGTAAGAAATTAAGTTCCGCAATAATCATATACGTTACCGTTTGATGTAACGCATTTTTGAGAACACAAACCAAAAAAGAAGTCGCTCTTTCAATGAGTAAAGTGATTTGGAAGTGTAAAAGTAGTGTAAAATTTAAGTTTTAAAAGGTAACTTATTTTTTTCCTACTACTTTGGACATTGAAATTGATTGTCTTAGTTTAATTAAGTGATAATTTTGACTAAAAAAAAAATTTTGGTGTCTGCCATAAAAAGTTGTTTGTCACCATGAGTGGACTGCCTGTTTTTTCCATTTTTAATTTCAGTTTAACATTTTTTAGATATAAATTGACAATAAATTAGTTTGAAACTATGATTTATGTTCTTTATTAATTTTTTTGTGATATTGATGTGATATGTGACAAAATTATTAAAAATGGTTTCACTTGTAAACATTGCGACACATACATGGTCTGAAGCTGCATAAGCATAAATTTTGTTTCAATATATCAGAAATATTAAATACATTAAAGAATTTAGAATAACTTTTACAATTTTTTAGGAGTGGTCCACTCAAGGTTACACTTTTTTCATTCCTTAAAAATTAGCTTTTTTTAAAAGTCAATTGTTTTTTCCAATAAAAAAAAATCAAAGCTATTATGGCATAAACACTTATTTAGGGATTTAAACTAAAGCTTGAAATAGAAACCTCCGATTAATTTGCTTTCATAAAGAATTTTTTAGAAAAAAAGCGTAGGCGGCCCACTCAAGGTGACATTACTCTATATATGTTTTTTTCGAAAAAAGAATCAGCTACGATTTTCGGAAATGAAAATTTGGAATCTTGGGACGATTCCAGATAAAACTGCGTTAGCACAATTTTGACTCATTTTAGGTAAACCTAAAAGTGCTTGAAGACCACCGTGTGCTGTTGATGAAAATTTTTTGTCATGGATGGTCTGAAACAAAAAATCTAAACGGTTTTAGCTACACGGAGAGACCCACATTTATAAAAATTACTAAAAATGGTTGCAATGACCGGAAATAAGGGGACTTTTAGCATAATATACTACAGAATTAGATAAATTTACAAAAGAAATAGATAAATTTGCTACATTGAAATAGCAAGTTTTAATATTTTGTGTAAGAGTTGTAAATGTAGCGAAAATTGATTATAGTTTTCTCTAATTTAATTAGACAAAATCTGACAAATGAAAACATTTTCCACTAAAACCTACTATCCACTGTAGTAATTTTTGGTGAGCAAGTGTGACTAGCGAGTGCAGTCATATGGCGCCTGCATTTCTATTGGTTGCCAACTTCGTCAATCTCCGTAAATGAGCCGATGCCATCCGATCATTGACAGTGACTATGTTTCGCGTATGTAACATAAATTTGGATATTATCTACAATAATTAAATATAAAGTGAAACGTAGGTCGTCCGTTATCTTAGAAATTGACCATTATAAATTTATAAATTTTGCATTTATTCCTGTTCCAAGAACTATGTCTTATAATAAGTTGTTAAAAGTAAACTGCTTTCTCGTAAGTGCTGTAAATTTTCATCATTCAATATATAAGGAAACAAAGATGTATGCTTTCACTGAAATTCGTTGTCGTGCGTGCAGTTGTGTATTAGTGTATTAATTAACCGCGTCTATACATATAAGTAAAATAAACATGTGTGTGTCTTCAAATATTTATCCAACAAATATATAAGTGTGTGTGTGTCTGTGTATGTAAAAATCCTTCCAGTTTACCTCCATTAGTCAAGAATTGACGGGAAACCGGCGATGAAAATCCCTATTTTTTCTTTCACTCTTTCTTTCTGCATTTACAAACGACTATAGTAATTTTACGTACACAATGCTTCTGAGTTTACTACAGTTGTTTGGAACTATTGGACGAAATAGTAAGAAACTTTGCTAATTTGGTGAACATTTGTCGGATTAGTGACTTAGTATAGAAAATAGTAAAAAATACAAAAAGTCCCCTTATTTCCGGTGGTTGCAATGTGAAAATAGTAAATTCTAGTGTGATTTTATACAAAAATTAGTAATCTCGGTCTCTCCGTGTATAGCTATATGAACATGGTGAATCTAATACTGTTTGAATTTTTTGTTTTAGATCATCCATGCCAAAAAAACAAAAAAATTTTGATTTTCAAAATGAAAACAATTGAATGAATATTATATTTTCATCTTTTTTCTTTTATCAATGGACAAAGTCTCGTCGTACAGTACATCTCTACTACTGGACAAACTGAGCTAAAATTTTCAACCTCGTCCTTCTCGTCCCTATTGAAAATCCCCATACGGGAAACCACATGGGAAACCACATGGGATCCTATGTCAAAAACCATGTAAAACCCTACTTGCATGAAGGAAACCACGTGGTTTACCATGTGGTTTCCCATGTCAAACCATATGGGAAATTGAGACAGGATTTTAGTTAGGAATAGACATGGGGAATTTGAACAGTTCATCTATGCATAAAACCATACCAAATCCCACATGTTTTTCCCAGTCAAATCCTAAACCGAATCCCATGTGAAAAACAGTATCATTTATTTATAATTATTTTCCCAAGTCAATCCCCAAGTGAAAAACAGTATCATTTATTTATAATGATTTTCCCATGTCAAATGCTAAACCAAATCCCATGTGAAAAACATTATCCGCCTTATTGAATATCCCTACATGGGAATCCACTTGGAATTTTACAAGGGATTTCACATAGTATTTTATATGGGAATTGACATAGGATTTCATGCAAGATTTCACCTAGGATTTAATGAGATATCACATAGTATTTTATTAAAGATCCAATGAAGAAATTTTCAAAGGATTAAAAATTATTTAATAAAAAATTAAATAATAAATAGTATTAGTGTTACAAGTCATCAAAAAAGTAAAAAAACGATCATTTGAAACACGCGTCCTCTCTGCTACAGGTTCTCAGCTTTTATATACTTCCAGAATCGTCTCAACAGCGAGAGAAGTAACTTTCGCCACCTAGCGGTGAAAGTATAGGAGCGACAGTAATCTTTAACATTACTAAGGAAACCATGTGGAATACCACGTAGGATTCCATGTGGTTTCCTACGTGGGGATTTACATGGGATTTTACTTAGGAATTTAAGTAGAAATAAATTCCCAAATGAATTCCTAAGTAAAATCCCATGTAAATCCCCACGTAGGAAACCACATGGAATCCTACGTGGTATTCCACATGGTTTCCTTAGTAATGTTAAAGATTACTGTCGCTCCTATACTTTCACCGCTAGGTGGCGAAAGTTACTTCTCTCGCTGTTGAGACGATTCTGGAAGTATATAAAAGCTGAGAACCTGTAGCAGAGAGGACGCGTGTTTCAAATGATCGTTTTTTTACTTTTTTGATGACTTGTAACACTAATACTATTTATTATTTAATTTTTTATTAAATAATTTTTAATCC